TGTGTTAGGTAACCATAGTCTAGAGTGTGTATAGGGATTGGACAGGTAAGGGGGGTACCCCTCCGTCCCATATCTTGCCTGGTGTAATGTTGCTTGCTTCAATTGTTCCAGTATTCCAGCGACGAACAGGATTTGATGGTCAATCAGCTAGCTCTCAAAAACGCTCGCTGCACACCGGTCGACAGACCCAACACCAAGCTCTCAAGGTATATATTGACCGACGCAAGAAATGCTGATCTTACGCTGGAAGTTGTGGTCACGGGACTTGGCTGTTCACACCACGGACGTATATAAAAAACCTGGACTTGCAACGCCTTTGTATGAAAAAGAAGCCAAGCAGCGGCCATTTTACCGGGCGGAATACAAAAGCGTGGGTTGGCTCCCTTCTATTGACGTCAGGAAGAACAAAGGCGGGCATTACCAGGAAAGCTTTGTATTCGGCTTGGTAAAATGGCTGCGAGTGGATTCAATGACTCTGTAAGCTGATTAAGGGCATTGCGAGTCTAGATTTTATCATAAGCGTCCGTGGTTCACACACGATTGAAAACGTGCTCAGTTCTTATACAGTATTCTACACGCCTTCATATCAAGTGCGCAAATCACGAACATTAGTAATGTCATTACTCAAGCCGCAAAGGCAAACAGATCAGGCCGAGGTCTCTACTTGTTGAATCGAACAACTCATCCTTCTTTCGCAATCTTTCCTATTTTTAAGTTCTTGTAGTAGTCGCACACCGAACCTCAAAATACGAAAGATCAAGATAGGGTGGAATTACATCAGCAATGTACGTGAAAGAAAATCATACTATCATTTCCTCTTGTTATCGTGGATACTTTCCGAAAAACTGCAACCATCATTTAACTGTCTGTGTGTTTTCCCATTAGAAATCGCAAAGATGCCAAAATCAGGCAGTGCGAAGCTGCCCGAGAGCACCAGATTGTGACCGAGGCCTTGTCCAAGTTCTTGGCGGTCTTATCTGACAGTCAGCTTGATAGGAATATCGCTTCAATCAGCAGGAAGGAACTCGAAGCAGTCTTTGCAGAGGTAGGGTTCGAAATCTTAATGGCCCACCATTCCCAAACCGCAGGCTAAAAATTATTACATGTATTTTATGAGTGATTATATGGAAATTGATATAGGCCTCCCAATGTGCATTCGATCAATTCAACAGTGACACTTCCACGGCTTTCATCGCCTGTAACTATCAACGCTTTCTGTAAAAATGTGTTTTTGTTCATCAGTTTGAAGTTTAAAATATTAACAATAAGTGCTAAACATCTTAATTGAGTACTTCAGACTGGTTTTAGAATGACGTTTCATGTTTTCAAAATTCTTTACCCAACCTGTCCAACCCTGATAATAAGAACACTGTCCATGTAATAATTATAATGCTTAATTAATTGCTACAAGGAAAATGTTAGGTCCAAGTTACCTGCATCGTTGGCCGTGTCCGAAACGGGCTTCCAGAGCTAGGGCTAGGTCTATTGCCTACGCGTCTCCGCACATTTCCACTGGAGCGAACACCTAGACCTAGCTCTGGACAACTGATTCGCATGCAGCCTTTGTTTTCCATTCCTGAATGTCCTCAGAAACACCTTATCATCGGTTGGAAAGAGCCCTGTTGGTCGGGATAGTTTATTTTGCTAGTTGTCCCGCGACCGTAATACGCATGCATTTCATAGTTGTTTGTGAACCAGCAAAGTGCAATTTCGACCAAAGGACGCCTCTGTTGCTAGGAAAATTACGCCCTCTCTTGGTCAAGCTCGGGGGCTCATTAAAAAAAAGATCATTTGTTAAGCCCAGCCGGATAGCTCCGGAAGTACACCACGGGCACAGTCGTTGATTATAGATAAAAGCGATAGAGTGATCATTGCTTCTGTCCACAGAAATCTGACGAATTCACCGATGAACACGCCAAAATACTCTTCGGTGAGAAATATACAATGGAGGAAGTCTTTAATTACCTGGACTGTAACAGCGACGACCAGGTAATGACATATAGATATGACCATGGGTCGACATAGTTTTTACCTGCGTCAAGACTCCTGGTTTTATGGATTTTCGAACATTTTAACTATCAGTGGAAAGGCATGTAGGTCTATTGCCACCAAAACCTCTGTGACAACAACACGGGTGTAAACAATAACTATGACCGGTGCTCCACGCACCATCTATTCCGATTTTCTTTAATAATTGGACTTTCGATTTCGTCCCAGATTTCGTTTAACGAGTTGATGGGCCTTGCCGAGCAGAAGGGCTTGGGTCTGCAGAGCTACTTCCTCGGCTACCAGCGACAGGATATCACCTCCTTCCGGAGGTTCCTGGACACGCTGTCCAACACGCTGCTCGTGAACGTCAAGAGGGTCTTCACCACGGTGAGCCAGTGAAATTCAAGAAATGCTCTCATTTAAGGAGAGAGAGATATTCTCCATGACAACATGGATCTGAATTATTTTTTGCTTTACGGAAGACCCCAAGACATACTAGGGCATTACGGGGTATCCGCCTCGAGCAGAAGCACCCCCTCATCAGTTGAAAAGAGCCATGCTGGTGGAGAGTTTTCGTTTTGTTGGTAGCGTCGCGTACACAACGCATCCATCTCGTAGTCGATCGTGATCAGCTAAGTAGAGTTCCCACCAAAGGAGCCTCAGTTGCAAAGAAAATCGCTCCCTCTCTTGGTCCAGCTTGGGACCCAAAGAGTCCCGCAGTGAATCCGTCACAAGCATAGTAATGGCCCTGTTTGTTTCACACGGATCCAAATCAGGAATCTGTCGTTGGTTCGCTGACACAAGGGCCCGCCTAATGGATGGAGCAAACCAGGTTTGGGATCACAGACTAAGATTTAGATCTGTGTGAAAAAAAAAACAGGTCCTGTGTTTGTAAAAGGCATCAGCGACGGAACCGGTGCGTGACCCAACACGCACAAAAACCCAATTCGTTTGTATGAGTGTTCGGGTACGTAAGCTTGGTAGTGTGATGGTTATGTGAACTTTGTCGTGAAGGGTAAGGTGAGCTCAAGCAACCAATAAGCACACTTTAAATGTAAACATCGAGTACATTTTTTATTGACTTTTGGCATGCAGGATGGTGACTTGGAACGCACTGTGGGCATCGACACGCTCTACGTGAGTGCCACCGACTTCCAACTTGAGGAGGGGGATCGCCAATTTCTCGTCAAGGTAATGCTATTGACAGCCTATGAAAAGAAGGACCGCAGAAGGGAAGACATATTTTGATCATAATTATTTTGATATCTTTTTGTAGCAAGCTCCGGAGAAAATATCTAAACCTCTTTCTTCTGTTGTGATCTGAAATGTTGTGATGTAAGGATTGAGATTGTACCTTTTGGACCACTGTCTTTAATTTTGGACTCTGCGCGCGGGTTGCAACTCGTGTAATCTCATTCATATTTAATATCAAGCTTTTACTCTGTCTATTGTTACAGCAAGGGCAACGGGCAGCCGCAACGTTCTTGAATCAGTGGACAGCGCGCAACCCAGACAAAGCGATCCGTAAGCAGAGCTCGCCTGCACCCGCACCGATCGACCTGCCCACTACTCACAGAAGGAAGAGCCCAAGCCAAGTGGCCTCACTGAGCGAGGAGCAGGAGTCGAAAGCGACAGCAGCTGCCGGTACGCCTCTGGCTGTACTACCCGTCTCACCCACGAATACTGGTTCCTAAGAACAGTACGTGTAGCTACTCCGTCCGCCTTGAGCAGAAGCACCCCCTCATCGGTTGAAAAAGAGCCATATTGGTCGAGAGTGTTCATGTTGGTTGGTAGCTATACGCGACCCCAACGCACGCATTTAACAGTCGTTTGTAAACCAGCCAAATGCAGTTCCTACCGACGGAGCCTCCGTTGCTAGGAAAAATGCGCCCTCACTTGGTCTTGCTCGGTCTCATTCGCTGGAGTAAGTGAGACCAACGTCGTTGCTGATACAAAGTGCTTCCGATCGTGAGTAAGAAGTAAAGCCCAATGCCAGTTAGTCAAGTACACTCCAGATACACCGCAAAAGGTTGGTGTTGAACTAAACCTTTTGGTTTTGATTTAACACCGCACAGTATCTAGGACCACGTGGTATCTGCAGTGTGTAATGATCAGTGGTGTCTCATCAGGACAGCATATATTTTACGATCGACGTGTATTATAGCATCCACATGTATACAGAACCAAGGGTTTCAATGCAAGATCAGGGGTGTGTACACCTAGCAAGATACGGGACGGAGGGGTACCCCCGTACATGTCCAATCCCCATACACATTGTAGACTATTGTTATGCAACACATTACCCCCTAGCTGTCTGAAAATAATTTCTTTGTGTCGGTCAAACAATGACCGACAGAAAGGCGGGGTGCCATTCGCCTCATATCTTGCTTCAAATGGGGGCGTGGGATCTGTATAGGACCTATGGTATTATTACGAGGCGGTTACGATGTACATGTGTAGTATGATAGACCCGTGGTTCTACAGTCTGCACATATTCAAGGTTGCATATATCCTAGACAATAGTGTGGCCTGCATCCACTGGACAAAAGCGCTTGTTTGTACATTCCACAGTGACTCAGGACTTTAATACACAAATACTGAAATATAATGTAGTCACCTAAGACCGGCTTATCTTTTGACAGTTTGCAGATTCATTCCTTTGTAAATATATTTGACAATACGGGCCAATAATAACGGACTTGGATGTCATTTTTATCCGTTGAGTTTATTGTTTTCTTTTGCGCAATTTGGCGTGTGTATGTTTGCTTAAATACATGCCTTGAGTGTTTATTTCAAACTTCTTGGTGGCTAATGTGCGCCTGAAGACGAAGATTATTTATGTTGGGGTAACTTCTTTTGGAGTTACTTCAGTTTTTTTGTTTTTTTTATTTATGACATTGCTGTGGTTTGTCAAACTACAGATAATAAGATTTGCTTGCTACAAACCAAATTCTGAACTTGCTCTTTTTTCCTCTTTTTTTTAATGATCTTAACACGCAATCTCCAAGTCTTTGGCTTCATTTCCTCAGTGTTTTGTTGGTTTGTACTTCTGACACACGCCTTATTAATTCTGTATTTTGATAAGAGAGCACAATTTTAAGGAGGTGTAAAATGCACTACGATATTTCCCATTTTGAAAGAGTGTATTTGTGGCCCAGGTCCATCAGGTGTTGTGTTTTGTTGCTAGTACTTTAACACCTGTAAGAAAAACACCAGAAAGGTCGCTTCATGTATTCATTTGTATTTTATTTGCAGATAAAATCGTGTACAATAAATCACGTGAAATTTTCGTGTCTGGTTTCTGAACATTTGTTTGAATTTACAAATAATATTATTTGGAAATGGTAATTCGTAAGAAATCTTATTTCATAGAGTTCCTACGGGTGATACGACCTGAACATTATATAATTTTCCTAATATATTTCGAACTGAATCTGAAAGATGATGAAAATATTCCCAGTAGTTTTTGTGTAATCAAGCTGCTGTTTTAGAATTCTAAATGATCGTGTACAATTGTAACTATTCCTACACCATTTTTATTGCTCCATAGAACAAAGTAAGATAAGATTTCAAAATTTACTGCATAATTCCAGATGCTTCAGAAGTGAACAGACTGATTCAATGAAACTAATTTAAAAACATTTGCATGTAATCCCCCAAATGTGCTTTTTTAGTTTTTCATGTTTTTCGAAAAGGTAACGTTTATAAAGAGTTATTCTGGTTATGACACCGATAGTTGGAAAGCGATTTAATTGTCAGCACAGCTTTGTCCCTTTTGAGCAAAATCTTTTCATGCATTCGGCGCAACATGTCTTTGCAACTTCAATATCGTAACTCTACCTATCGGCGAACATTCTTAAAACTGTCACAAAATTTATATCCATCTTTATATTTCACTGCTTTTCTCATCCAATGCAAACCATTCACATCTTATGTGCTAAAAGCCAGTGTCGGTATTCTTAAGAGGAATCGAAGTGAAAGGGCTTGGGTTGAAGGTTTCTCAGGCTTACATAAGCTTTAAAGGAAACGAACAGTTGTTTTCGTTAAAAAATGACTTTTTGACTGAGGTGCAGAAAAATCATTCATTATGACCACACTTGGACAAGTCTTGCCTTTAGATGACGCGTACAATCCGATTTTAAAAAGATACTTGTTTGCACCTGAACCAAAATTTGTGGTTGGAGGTCCACTGTGATTCACAACTGATTCCAAGTGAATTTAGGATTGTAATTATGAAACAGGTGAAAAGGTGGGATCTTCTAACCTTAGAATTTGTTGTTTCGATAAAATACTTCTTTTTTTTTTTTTAAACATTAGTGATACTTCGAGATTCACATTTCTCCCGTGATGTTTACAGAGAAAAATCTAGGTTTATACAGGGGAAATGCTGTGGGTTGTTCCTTGGGTCCACGTTAGAAAATGGAACTTTATTTGGCCAATTAGAATATATAAATTCTTGGGTAGAGTAGACTGGATGCGGTATACAATAATGAGAGTTCTGATTGAACAGCAATGTCTTCGGATGAAGGCACAGCTAATTTTTAAGCTTGTGATTGCAACTATGACTTTATTTAAAGGCAGAATTCAATTACATGTACACACAAGTACAGAGTAAGTACACGTACTTCTTTGGTGCTCAAAATTCTACAGCAAGCTTGTTGAGCAAGCCGAAGCAGGTCCAGGTCCGGATAAAGGATTGAGGAAAATGAAGGAGTGATGAGAATGTTCAAAGAGGAAAAATTAAGAACGGAGTGGAAAAGTAGAGGCTTAACAAGGAACAAAAATGGACAGTGTTACCATTAACATCACTATTCTATCACTGCAAACAGTGACCTTTACCGGTGTTCCATTCTCACCTCGTGTCATTCCTTATCCGAGGCATCCATCACTCTTCATTAAACATCCAACTCATTACCTGTCACCACTCATACACACCCTTTACTCACCCCTAATCAGATCTCACCACTTCCGGTGTCTTCATCATCTGTTATTAGTTCTTTCTCTTCTCTATTATATCTCTTAATCATCCATGGCAACCATCCATAGCATCTGCCATCCATTATGGTTCCTTCATCCATAATCCTCCCTGATACGTGCAACTTGTTCTCACCCGAATAATCAATAATTATTTCATTCCTCCGTTATCATCCCTTGTCGCCCATCATCGCTTATCATTGACTATCATTCTTTCGTTTTATCGTTCTTTACCACCAGTAATCATTCGCTGTCATTCTGAAGCTGATTATTCTTCACACCACCTGACCATCCATTATCACCTGACCATCCATTGTCACCTGATCATCCATTATCACCTGACCATCCATTATCACCTGGCCATCCATTATCACCTAACCATCCATTGTCACCTGATCATCCATTATCAGCCCGATCACCCATTAGCCTGACCATCCCTTGTCACTCCCAATAATCCATCATCACTCTAATCTTTGTAATCATCCTGTGTGGCCTCAGATCATCCATTATCATTCCAATACATGTAATCCATTATCACCTTGATAATCCATAATCAGCTCGATCATCCACTACTGCCTGGTCATCCATTAATACCTCATAATATCAAACATAATCCCTTCTCGTCCGTTATCACTCCTGATCGTTCATAATCATCCACGCTCATCAACTGTCATTCCGGAGCGCAAAATCACAATATATGACCATCCATTATCACTCCCGATCATTCATTTTCACCCAATACCTGTAATCCATTTTCATTCCGATCATCCATTATAACCCCTATTATCCAGTATCCCCCAACAGTCATCCATTATCATTCTAATCATCCATTATCACCTTGATCATCCATATTACTCCCAATCATGTGCGCATATCTCAACCATACACTAACACTCAAACTATCCATTATCACTCCCGATCATTCATTTTTACCCAATACCTGTAATCCATTTTCATTCCGATCATCCATTATAACCCCTATTATCCATTATCCCCCACCAGTCATCCATTATCATTCTAATCATCCATTATCACCTTGATCATCCATATTACTCCCAATCATGTGCGCATATCTCAACCATACACTAACACTCAAACTATCCATTACCATCCCTGATCATCCTGCATTTCATTCAAGAGAATTCACCGTTTTCCTTAAACTATTTATCCATCGGCAATCTGTCACATGAATTATCGTCACCATCACCACATCACCCATCACCATTAATTTCATCCCTATCTAAAATAAAATGAGACTGGTAGACTGAATAACAGACAAACAAGTAGAATTAAAAAAAAAAGAAGAACTGACAAGAAAGCAATGGGTGATTCGAAACCCACTTACGATTAGCGATAGACTTCGTGGACCCGGGAGGGCAATTAAATACAAAGAAAACGAGGGAAAGGCAGAAAATGGAAGATAAAGTTGAGAGAAAGAAAGGACGCAAGAGGAGAAGGAAAGATTGAATTTCCAAAAATTTCAAAATGTTATGAGCTACCATTTCGTGCACATAAAAAGTTTTTGAAGCTGTACAGCACTTGGCTGGGGAGAAAGTGGAAAACGGTCTTAAAAACCGCGTTGAGGGATGTTTGAGCTTGCAGAAACTTTTCAAAGAAATCATTGCCATTATATTGAAGTAAATGTGTTCCAAAAGTCATGTCTGGAATTCCAAGCCCTTTTGCCTCGAACAAAAAAACATGAATGGCATCTTTCGTTTCTCGAAAGCTGCACAGCCATTTACGGAGGACGACAACCGCTGGCATTGAGACCATCTCCTTTGTCTTTCTCTTACACTGGCTCAAAAGATTCTTCATCTGACATTCCAGTCTCTTCCGGAGATGCACAACATCTGAATAAGGAAAAAGAACACACATTGTTCTAGACTTAAACCATTTGCCGGTATCAGAGCAGAACAAAGGGCATGCTGCGTTTCAATCGATTCGACCACGTGACAGAATTTGCAGTATGGTGGCTGCAAACGGGTTGTATTCGCTACTTGTTCAGAGGTGACACTGTACGAGTCAGAAGAGGTTGTTGAGGAGCCGGGCCAAAGTGGTGGTTGGGTCTTCAAGGAAACCAGTTTGTCGTTGGATGTCTTCCAAACCGATGGCACGGAGTATCAGTAAACTGGCAAAAAGCAAGCAGCTCAGAGTTTCTCGACACTAGGAAAAACAGCCACAAGGTACGCTTCAGGAAAGACAGGTTATTGTTGGGATTGTTGGCACATGTAGTTACCTGTTGTGTTCCCTAGGTTTAGGCATGATGCGTGACATCACAGCCGCCCTTATGTGCACCAAATTTGGCGTTGGTTTGGAGAGGACTTAAGCCAAGAGTGAAGATCACTTGTCGCTGTTGACTAATACCGTGCGACGGCTACCTGGTCAAGCAAATACGTAAGAAAGGAAATAAATATTTAATGTCTTTGCCTTGAAAACCCTTGCAGGATTACAGACATACGGCATAAGGTTAACACATTAAAAGCAATGCTTCCATATTTGAAATCAAGTGATGTGACAATTACACTTAATGTTGGGCGCGATTGGTCGATTCTACATGAAATCCCCAACTTTACTTCCCTTTTTGGAACCCTTCTTTCACAACCGTAAATAAAAAAGAAAGGGCGATTGGCGGATGGTGGAATTATTAAACGACATACCAATGCGCAAAGATCGACCGATCGCGCCCAACCTTATGCAGTACAAGTATATTAAGTTTTTAAGTTCTTTTTATTCAAAACCTTGGTCAGACCTCTCCGTCGTTATGTTGGCTGTGGGCCAAAGAGTCGAGCCTCTGTCACAAATACGATTTGAATTTGACAGTGCAAACACAATACCGGTAGATACTAGGCAGCTATGTGTTACAATGATCGAACTTGCCTCATTTATAATCTGCTCGCTCCAATGTTTATCCATCATCCGGTCTCTGTGCGTGCTTTCCACCGATGTGTCCTTTTCTCAATTTATTTTTTTTTTTAGGAAATAGATTGTTTTGCTCTTCTGGTGATATGGATTGAATTATAAACTGTATTGAAAGCAGTTAGGTCATTTTGGTGGCTGGGAAGCAGGTTTACAAAGTTTTCCCTTATCTTGGTTGTCACTATTTTGACTGCAGTGCTATAATTCTGGCTTGTTTTCCTCATTTTTTTTTGGGGGGGATGCATGGAAATGTCATCCCGTAACCTTCCTTCCCTATATGTCTCTATTGAAACAAATTTAAAAATAGAAGTCATATTCGCCCCGACACGTCGACTCGGGACGTTCCTCGGGAGAGGAAACCCTAGAGGCACGGGGGGAAGTCGTGTCCTGGGGTTCTGCTTCAGCCTGCTCTTCCACTGGAGACACGCAGACCTTGAAAAAAAAAAATGATATGACATGTCTATTTTGAATATTTACTCGCTGTTTGCAACCCCTTTTCTAAGTGTTGACACCAGATGGAGATAATTAAGGACGTCTTTCAGGCTTGGTTTGAGCAAATTCGCTGGGCAAACATTCCCAAGTTGGCTCAGATACTGTAAAATTGACGTGAGTGATGTTTCTGTATATAAAGCCTTCTTTTTTTATATCGTCCAATGGGTACTTCAACGCTTTGGCATTGGCTAGAGTTGAAATCCATACGTCTGTCGACAGAGGAGACGGAAAGTTTGAATGTGCTAATTTGTGGTGGTCCTTTTCCGAGTCCATCAAAGATCAAATTGAGAAGCGGTACGACATGAATCGGGCTTGAAAAAATCAGACGATATTTTCGGAGTACAAGTTCTTTCTACAGCATCTGAGTGTTTGTGTAAAATTGTATGGCGGAAGTGGCCAAGTGAAAATCGCCAATCACTGCAAATCCGTATCATCTCTTTGCCCAAACACTATCCCTTCTCTTTTAAGAAACTCGGCCAACACCAGCCAGGTACCTGGGCCAGATGGCCACAATCTGGTATATCAGCTAAGTTAGGAACAATTAAGGGAACCTAGCTACAACACTAAAGTCTTGACGCATACCTTGTGCAGTCTTCGGCCGAACTTGGTGAGGGGACGACTTTGTTCATGTTGCATGAACGCATCCAGGCAAGACTGGACGGCGGATGGCTTCCTCGTCGTATCCCTAGCTTTGCTGTCATGGTGACAGACAGAACTCAGATGAGTCTCCTGTAAAATGACAGAAATACAAAGTAGGTAATGCCAGGTGCCCCTCCCTCACCTTCATTCCTGATTTTTCTGCAGGAATGTATTTCAGTGTCTGCATGTATTACGCATGTTGATATTTCAATATATGCCCTGTTTTAGTACCTGCCTAAAACATGAGCTTCAAAATATGGTTTTCTTTCATCTTGCTTTGGAAATAAAACTTGAATGAAATTGGAACCTTTGATACAAATCTAAATCATCGCTTGTAACAATATCAATGCTAACAGATCAAGTCGGGCCCATTTTTAGATTGTAAGTTTTTGAAATTTTTAGGAAAGGTTAAAGGAGTAACTTTTTTTGTTGATTTTGTTGTGGTTGGTGAACTAAACGTCCGTCAAAGCAATATGAATTTTCAAAGATACTCTCTGATTTAAGGGAATGAAAAAAATCACTCTAAAAAGAGAAATTGCATTTAAAAACCACTGATAAAGAGTGAAAACCACTCCAAAATAAAAGAGTGAAATTTATACTCTCTCAAAGAGCAATGTAAGAGACAACTCGTAAAAGAGTTTTCACTTATATGGCTCCTCGTGTTAAGCGGTTCTTGTTTTGTTTGAGTGGTTTTCACTCTTGTGGGGTGGTTTTGTAAGGGACTCACTGTTTTGGAGAGTGAGAGTTATTATTATATTTGGAGAGTACAATTTCGTATCTACACTCTGGAATTCAGCGTTTTGCAAAAGTTCAGTTCATCCTTGAGTAAAGGGGGAAAAGGCTTTCCACTTACAAGGTGCTGTCGCTGAGCTCTTCTGACGTCATCCTGCAGTTGTTTGTCCTTGAAGTTGTTCTCCAGGACGGCGCGACTGAGGCATGACGGGAGCGGCCTAGTCGCATTCTTACCGTAGAGGGCAAGCTCCATTTGGATGCCTCCTCGTGATGGGGGGCGCTCTCTCCAGGCTCTCTGGATCGGCAGGCGTGTAGGGAGGGGACTTGCCGAGCGACTGGCAAAATACTGAACGGCGGTCACTGTCAACAGATGTGTTGAATAATCAATCTGGGTTTCCTCCTGTGGCGTTTGCGTTGCGCAAATATTTAACTTTTTTGTGAAGGGCTATAGGCCTATCTAGTTGTTTTGGAAATTTTTAATATATTAGTTTCTTAAAATTATTCGAAACAATTACAGTTGTACATTAGCATACATTTCGAAAGGTAATTAAATTCAGCGCTGCCTTCAGATTTAATGAATTTTACCGTAATTTACCCAGTACAAATTTTGACAAAAGGCTCACTACCGAGAAGTGCATGAGCACCCTTGATGTGTATGATTACTGAGTGAAGAAAAAAAAATACAAGTTATTCTTTTACTTCCTGTGTGTACACAGGTGTCTTTCCTTACACGGTATTTCTATAAATTCATGTAGGTGCTGCAGTACTACAAATTACATGCATTATGAACTGATTAAACGTGTAAAATCAACTCACTAAAAAGGCAGGTGAAACTTGGAAATATATCATGGCGTATTGTTCATGAAAAAAATGGATATTATCCCGCAAGTGAAATACAGGTCGACCGAAGCTTGGATTTCTAAAGAGTCAGCAATGTGCCGATATTCCTGCAAGTTGAATCCAACAATAATTAGGGGCAGAAAACGAATTATTTGCTTTCGGGGCTGTTGAGAAAACAGTGTATTTTGCCCAAAACTTTTCAGAAATTACTGCAATTTGTTATCTAGATGGAGCAGGTGGGCTATCAACAAAACTGATCAGTTCAAAAAGGAAAGATGAAAACCAAAACAAACAGAATAAGTAAAAGTGAACCACTAAAAGTGAACCAGCTTCACAGCTTCATGAACCGGAGTGGCGACAAAACCACGGGCACGAAAATACCGCACATTTTATCAGTTTTGGGCGCTTGACTTACTCTCTTCCGCCTCTTCTTCCAGGTCAATAACCTCAACATCCTTGCCCTCTTTGTTTGGCCGTGGTAGATCCCAAGAGGAGGCGGACTCGGGCCTGTATTTTGGGGAAGCCATGGCGGGGTCTACGATATCGACAACGTCATCATCATCCGGGATATCCAGGGGCTCGCTGGTTGGTTTGTTGAAGTCGGTCCTTCACGCAAATTCGGTAAAGTATTGAACATTTTCTTTGATATTCTTTTGGCACGATATCATTCTGAAATTTTCCCTCGAAGTTGGGCATTCGAGAAATAAAACAAGACTGGTTGGTAGTGCAAGATATGTCGAAGTATTAACATTTGCCTATTGCTGTGTTGTAACCAACATGTCAGCTACAGTGTGCTTTGTCGTACGCGATTACTTTTGCTCACACAGTTTCTCCTCAACCGTCACCTATGCCATTCTGTATTATATGCTAGACTGTAAAAACAAAGTGTGTAATAAATGCCCAACTGAAGGTAGAAGATTGGTAACGTCACATATACCATGCTGTAGGCCTACACATTATGTGCTGCCCTGTAAAACAATTCTGATGAAATACCTGACAGGTATGCCCAACTGGTAGAAGATCGCTAACAAAACGACAGTAGATAATTTTATCATTGCGAGCTCTATTTGTTTCATACAAAGTCACACACTGCTAAAAGCTTTGGGGCTTTCGCGGGTAATGTGTTATTCCATACAGGGTTTGAAATATTGTTTTCTTAGGTTCTTTTCTTCTATCCATTCTGCGCTTTTATTTCTTGTATTCCTCTGTTCCCTTCTGTGTCCTATAACGTGCGTCACCCCAAGTCGTATGGAAGTTGATGTTTTCTGGAGGATTTAACCGATTTTCTCTGAGAAAGATTTCGACCCCTACCTCTCGGCCGGCTCTTCCGGGTGGGGATTGACTCCGATAGGCACCACCCTGTTGGAGACACCACACATCGGTAACACGACCCTGCCAAAGACCCTCCGCCACCCTTTGCAGGGGGGCCTGCTGCCCACCCAGGCCTGCTGGCAAGGTCCCAAGGGCTCTAGACCAATTTTAGAATTCGTACAACCCATGTATGGATGCAAAAATCAAAGTTTTCTTCTCACAAAAACGTTCGCAAAGTACTCTCAGTGTTCACGATTTCGATCGCTGACGGTTTCTGCTGGTTTCTTAGGTTTTCTGTCAACAATATCTTTTTAATATTCATACAATGACGTCACAGTAGTTACTACGTGCGTCCCTTTTTCAATTGTTAGTTCTGAAAAATTCTTTCATTCAGGATGGAAGTTATTGAAGGGGTGGTATTAACGCTAACCAAAATGTCGCTGTCTTTCACTTTCAGATCATCAATAAAATTAGGATGTAATTGTAACTAGACTCATGCTTGTAGAATGTAGAGGGTAAAATATCTTCGGTTCATTTGGCAAGATTGCAGTGCCATTCTAATGAGGAGGCTACTTTTTCTCCCAACTCATGACAAGTGCGTACCTAGGGAATAGTTACGCGTAGTGAACGTCATAATGGCAATGTGTGCGTTCGTTTCAAATTGCACGCGCCATCGATCTGACGTTAGATCCCACAATCCGACAGGAAAATGCACATCAGTTGCAAACGATTTTATTCAATCAAAACACTGGGAAACTATCACCAGAGATATCTGGCGGGAATAACCAACTGGTTTTAACTATTTCCCCTTGCGATTATAATCCTGTTTTCATGTGCCTGTTGCATGCACCTCTAATGTTTTAATTTGAGTGCAGAAAAGACGTGTAAATTCTGAAAAATTCAAGGAAAATGTCTCTTTACCTTCCTACGGATGGACAAACCGTCCAAACTCACGAGGAACAGGAGAGAACTAATGTAATGAAGTACATTGTATTACTAATTGCAAAACGTATGAAGAAAGTAAAACCGACCGCGCTTCATTAAAAGCGAGCCTCGTGTCACGGTTTAAATCTAACTGCCTCGCCAAAAGCTCTGAAACACGTATTAAGAAATCGTCTGTTAAATAAATCACATTAGGAGCTAATTTGAAGCGAGGGGCACTTTAATTATTGAGGGCTTGGGGAATGTTTTGCCTCTGGGAAAGCTCGTCGGCCTGGTCAGATCAATTAGGCCTACCCCTCCCTTAAATTGGGCAAGATGGACGAGGGAATTTAGGCAAGAACTGAAGATCCATTCACTTTCACTTCGCTTCTTAGCTATCCTTCCGCCTTGGTAAAAGTTCTCCTCCATCCCTTGTCCGCTTAGGTTTTGATCAACCTTGACTTTCCCTGACCACAGCGAAGAGTCTTGCCTCCCTTTAGAAATCTCGACTGAACTTAAAGCAACGTTCAAATACGTCTCTGTATCTTCACTGAAAGACAGTAACATTCCTCATGCTCCTTCTTTTGCTGCTGCCGAAAGACGTATTTTCTGAGAAAAAAAAGAACAGGCTTGGGTAGTCTTTCCTTAAACCTCACCTAATTGCTCAAATTTTCCACCTCACCATTTTCTTCACCTATGGTACCATATGTTTATTGCCAATGTTTTGTGTTTTGTTGGCTTGCCGGACACGAATAGTTGGCAGTTGTGCGGGTGCTTCATCGGTGGGATGGTGTAAAATTTCGCACGGTCGCCTCTAGCTCTAGCGCGTAAAGGATACAGCATTCTCTGCCAGTTCACAAAGATGGAAAATTGCCCACGAAAATGTGCAACCCGCAAAGTGCAGATTTAAGCAATTATTTCACGGGCTGTACAGACTTTTAGTTTATTGTAGCAGGATCGATTAAGTGGCCGTATTGAAAGAGAGATCTCCTGCTGCTTTATAGGCCTATTGACACTACCATTTATCGCCGGGGGTGGTGAATTAAGTGTTGAGGGATGTGTAAATGTGCTCCGACTCTTCCATATAAGGTACTGTGACAATGAGACGGACCTCATAAAAAATCCCATCACAACAGTAGTCCCTTTGACTTGTAACAGGAGAAAGATGTCATTGCCTTGACGGCATATTCGAAGCCCATCATTGTACAAATCCCTTTCAAAGATGCAGTTGACTGAGCATGCTTTTACCAGATTTCGGAATCACTCAAATGTATCTGCTCTTTCTCTGCAATATAAAAATCTCAAAATTTGAAAATATTGTGATTCCTTTAGTAGGTCGCTTGGAAATTGATGCTTTTAGTCGCATTTGTGAGGGTTTGTGCGATACGACGGATCGGAAATTCCCCATCCATTAGCATAATATGAATTGATTTCCTGTAAATCGATGGAGCCTTAAGTACATGACATATACATGTCGGTAATAAAAATCATGTCACTAAGGTTTAATTTCTGAGGAAAATGACCGGTCGACACTGGAAATTTGGAACTGGGCCTCGGCCCTGGATTTACGTTTAAAGTAAGGAGTCGCGCGCTAGCAAGCACCCAATCATCGTTGAGACTCAGTTTTCACTGTAAATTTAATTACACTTATAGTTGACTATGCACCACCCTCATGACCTCAAAACATGTACCGACGTGAGGCACTTTGTTTACTTTCGAAAACAAATGCCCAATTAGCTTCATGTTTATGTGTTCGAGGGCATTAATCAAACTTCAAAAAGCTTCATTAGCTGTGGAGCGTGAAGTGTGGTCGAGGGAAGTCTTCGATGTGAACTGCTCGTCTGATACGGAAAATATAAGTGGATTTGGATCTCTAGAATGAGACTGCTTCCCTCGTTTCTGATATAGCTAACACTGACTGTGCTTCTCAGAGGAAAGCCGGGGATTGCTATCACATTTACCTCTGAGAGCATGCTGCTTCGACAGGGAACAAGCTTGGATTCGGCGTGAACGCGTGCCGTGAGCATCCACGTTGTGTTCCAGACGGTGTCTGATACGTGGACTCCGTAATGTTTAAGTACCCCTCGACATTTCAACACCACAGCGCTCCCACTGTGCGCTGGGGCCCATGCGCTTGCAGGCCCTACACATGGTGCACATTCAGAGGAAAATGCACATGCACCATGCGCACATAAACACTCTGTGTTTATAACAATCTCATTTCCCGTTCTTGCTCTGAGCCAATGAAGCTTCTTGACATCAGTGCTGGCAAGCACCGAGGAACACACGAGCAAGTCTGTGTTTTCCTCCCTCCAGTATGCCGTGTGTTGTGACGTAGGAAGTTTTTTGCTGGACTTGAGTGGTCTCCAGTCGATTATTTGAACTTAGATTTACCCTCGACCTTCCACGTCGTTGACTTTCAAGATGTGAGGATAGAAATTGGAGAGGTCCACTTGTCATGACTATTCAATATAATCTTCACCAGATCCGGCTTTTTTTTCTGAGGACATTTGATTTCACCACTCGCCCGCTATTCATCACCTGCAAATAGTTCGCATAGAAATGCCATGCACACATGTGCCAATTGAGACAGAGCTAAACAATAATTACGGGGGATGCTCGTGTGAGGAATGCCCGCGCGCCACGGGCAGCCCCCGCCTTATGTAATTCTTGGATGAGCGCATGTGGTGTTCTGCGCGGCTCACATCGCCTGGGTCTGGGCCAAAATACCGGCAGGCAGAGCAAGGTCCTGCGTTGCGAAAAAAAGCCAAACACATATCTTAAAACGGGGTTTGAGACTGATTCTTGGCGCGTGAAATTCAATTTTTCCCTGCAGTACCTCCAGTTAGGGCAATAAACCAGCCGATGACAGGAAACCTAACGGGATTTCATCTTGGCGATACTGTGCGCATCACTGTGGTTTAACAATATAACTCGCCGACACGGCTCAAGAAGAGAATTACTATAACCGACGTTCTCACTCTGAAGAATCCGCCTTAATCAATCTTTAATGAGCATACGCGGTGATTTGTGGATAAAATTGTCTCCGCAAGCTGGACCTACTGATACGGTTGGCCAGGATGGCCTAATTATCTAATGGCTTTACCACAATTAACGATTTTAGCTGATATGTTAGCTGGGCAGGAATGATCCCCGCAACCAGAGGTACAAGTATCTTCAATCAAATCAGTCGAATACAAGACAGGATGAAACCTTAAGAGGTAAGACAGATTTATCGAAAAGAGCAGTGAACTCGAAGTATGAAGCTGTATATACTTGATAAACATAAACGCAGTATACCTGTAACAAAAAAATAAACTCAGGTACAACGGCATATGGTGAGGTAATTAAAATTGGACCTCCGTATCAAAAGTAATTTTATAACGACCATCACCGTCGGTAAGAGTACGATCCACCCTTGTGAGGATGCGAGGACACCGCTACCAATTCCTCTGAGCAATCAACCGTGATGGGTGGGTAATTGAAGAAAATACTATCCAAGGCAGCTGGTACAGTCGCCAAAGCACCGGAGAGAGGGGCTCGAGTGACCCCTTCAATCGGTGGGAGGATTTAGCATAAGCGCCCCTCACATATTTCGGCAAGTGCACGCGGTCCTGTGGGCAATGTGAGACGTCAGGACAGCGTCAGCGACAGGACAGTTATATCTTACAGGAGGGTAATAGTACTTTTCTCCGAGTTTCTGTTTTTCTTTAAATGTGACGGTTCGACAGAATCAGAGATTGGCACCCAAAATATTGGTTTTTAAACCGGAAGATCAAAGAGATTCACTCGAAATTACTTTCTCTACCCGTCGAGTTCATTCATTGACAAAGCCTACAAGGACGAGCACCTGCCCTGCTTTCCACCAATCATGAAATACTGCACGTATGGTTGCTATTTCCAACTTAATTGTCAGCTCGTGTCACTATACGAGAGCGTGTTACCTTCCGGGCACAACAGTCTCGTGGCAGAATAGTCCATATTTGAAAACGAACTGAAGCACGTGGTATAGTAGACCCTGGAATCACCATAGAAAATGGTGACGAGCAAATGCTTGATTCATCTATCGCACCTTCAAACAGGAAATCGCCGTATGTTTACAACGGTGTTAATATATCCTCTGTCTTGTAACTTGTAATTCGTTCTCCTCACAGTGTAATGAATAACACCACTGATGTTTGTCGAGATGGTCGTTTGCATGTTCATTCCATTTGTGCAAAAAAGTGAGCATTGGTCCATGCAAAAAGGTCAGTAGTTTAAAAGAAAAAGCCAGGACAGAATAAACATTTCCATTTACATAAAAACGAAAATCTTAAAGCCTTGTTGGCTGCCTTGGACAGCATTTCCAACATATCATTACGGTAGAGCTTTTGTTCAAGAAAAACCTCCACTAG